TCATCAGCGTTTCTGTACTGTTTTAGGCCTTGTGCCCACTTGCCTCACTTGCTCAGTGACTTTGCATGTACTGTGATCTATATACATATACCTGCATGTTTACCCCTGCTAGGTTATGATCACTGTACTGTTTGTTCTCGTTTATATAATTCTGCATGTGAACTGGCCTTGTGACCATTTCCTTGTGCTCAGAGTGTGTGGTGACTTTGTGATCCACCTTGCGCTTGCTTTGTTTTTTCTCGACTGATCTTGTGAACCCCTGTTCTCCCCCACTTTGCCTATGAGGGTGTGTCAAACTGTTATAATGTTTATATTGTGTAGACTGTAGTGGGGTAGCCCAGTGCTTAGTTTTGGATTTTGCCTACTCACGATTAGCAGTGTAGACGTTTTCAAAACCCTTCTGAGCAGTGTGCTCTTTTTGGAAACACTTATGGATCAGTGTAACTTGAAGTTTTGATAACTTCACCCAGAGACATCAGTGTAGGTATATTTTTTACCCTGATTGTACTCTAGGCAGCAGTACCGTATGTGCTGGCAGCAACCAAGCTCGAGGCCCAAATTGCGCAAGATTACTAATCTTGCGCAAGTTGGGCGCTGGTGGGTGGGGGTTGTGAACTCAAAAGTCGAGCGCAGTGGCTTGTCTGGTTTCGCTGCAGCACTTGTTTTTTCGCTGAGTCAGCAAGCTTCCCGGGGGGAACATGTGTTTGGGGACCTCGAGTCCAAAATTTCCGAGAAAGTTGAAGTTTTTGCAGTGAGTGCAGCTTTGACCAATCAGGTTGCATCGCCTCTACAGTTACGGGTAGGTTGCAAGCAGACACGGAGTGACGCGGTGTCGGTTGTCAGTACTCTCGTGCTGGCGTCGTAGTGCATCATTACGAAATTGGATGTATCGTTACGAAATTTCTAGGAAACTTCGTCTCGATAAGTAGAGTTTCCGAAGAGGGGGGGGGGGGAGGGGGGGGGGGTGGCTGTACGCTCTCCAGGGTAATCTTCGCTAAGGGAAAAATTACCCTAGAGCATCAGTGTGGCCTAAATCGTTACACTGACATATCAGTGTAACAATAATCCCCCATAAAATTACCCAAACCCATCAGTGCATGCCCTAAATTTCACCTTCTAATCAGTATAGCAGTGTAAATTACACTGATAACGAGAGCCCTGGGGTAGCCCATAAGGGGTACAACCCAATTATGGTTAGTACTTGTACCAACTTTCTGTTCAATACAATCATTCCCGTTCAGTACTTTGACACGAAAGGCTCACACTGAGATGCTAATCATTGTCCGAAACATACATGCCTGGCACCCCAACTGCTGGCCATACGAAAGTCCGCTTTATGAGAAGCTTCTGGACCTTCCACCGGGCCGATTCAACTGGGACAGGTTTGCGGAGCATAATGAAGTTCTGAGGAGACTGGCGGGCAGGCCCCTCGATATCAGGGTAAAACATCCTGATTACCTTGATTTCATGATAGTGTCGGGAGTTTTCCCTGCAATTTCAGGATGATGGTATATTTTACCTTGTGACTTCAGGATAATTTTCGTGTTGAGCCCTGAAATTTCAGGAAGTCCGTGAGATTTTCCCCTGAAGCATCAGGACGAAGGTCGAGGACTGCCCTGACGCATATGCAGAAGGGGATGTTAGAGAACAAGTAGAACGAGGAGCCATAGCTAGGTAAGTCCTAGCTAGGCAAGAGAAAGTTTAGACAAAAGAAGAGGGTTTACTAGCAGCAGTTGGGATACATATAGCAAACCCTAGTTGGGTTGTACCCGCTATAGAGCACCCCACTACAGGCTAGATAATAACATTCTGAGACACCCCCATAGCCAAAGTGGGGTGTAATCAGCACAATGAGCAAGCAGGCATAGAGCAGGAGTTCACAATAGTAAGCAAAACTAGAGTTAATCACAGCGGGCAAGTGAGGAGGAGAAGGAACTGTGGATGGAGAGAAGATGGGAGGCAACGACTGAAGCTGCAGAGGCACGGGCACAGGAGCGGCTGACTCAGTGGCTACCGAAGCAAGGGCGACGGACTACGGGAGTGACTGGCTCCGCGGCTATAGACGAGCGGCAGGAGCAACGGACCCACTGGCGACTGGTGCAGCAGGCTCACTGGCTACCGAAGCACGGGCGACGGACTACAGGCGCTGCAGGCGACACGACAGCTACCTTCACACAACCTCCTCCAACTGCCCCACACCCTCGACACACACCCCCTGCTCAAACCCTAGCTCCACTCCCACGGCACCCCCCTTAAACCCTAAACCCCAGGCTCCCACACATCCACCCCCCTCAGCGAGAGCTGCAGCAGTGGGAGACGAAGGAGGAGGATGAGTAGGGGACGGCGCACACAACCGACACCCCCACAACCGCCACCCCCACACCCCTCACCCCCAAAACCCTAAAACGGGTGGGATAGGGGCAGGAGCGCGGGGGACGGCGAGGGGAGGGACGGCGCACGACCCCCAGGGCGCCAAAACGGACGGGCGGGGCGGGGGGGTGGCGCGCGCGGTTCCCCAGGGCGCCGCGACGGACGGGCAGGGGGCGGGCGCGGCTCCCCAGGGCGCCGCGACGGACAGGCAGGGGGCGCGCGCGGCTCCCCAGGGCGCCGCGACGAGTAGGGCGGGGCCGCGCGTGCTCCCCAGAGCGCCGCGACGAACGAGCGGGGCGCGCGCGGGCTCCCCAGGGCGCCGCGACGAGCTGGGCGGGGGGCCGCGCGTGCTCCCCAGGGCGACGCGACGGACGGGCGGGGTGCGCGTAGGCTCCCCAGGGCGCGAAACCGCCGCGCGCCTCGGGGCGCTCGGCGGGATGAAAAACCTTAAAAAAATTTCGCGCGCGCGCCCTAGGCGCGCTAGAAGCGGAACAGCAGCGGAAGCAGTTAGGTGGCGGGCCCACCCACAGGATCGACCCAAGGGGGTCGACCTGCTCTGATAGCATGTTAGAGAACAAGTAGAACGAGGAGCCATAGCTAGGTAAGTCCTAGCTAGGCAAGAGAAAGTTTAGGCAAAAGAAGAGGGTTTACTAGCAGCAGTTGGGATACATATAGCAAACCCTAGTTGGGTTGTACCCGCTATAGAGCACCCCACTACAGGCTAGATAATAACATTCTGACAGGGGAAGGGGTGTGGGGGGGATGGGGAAGAGGGGGGAAGGGGCGGGGGGGTGTGTGTACTGGTTTTGCCTCCTCCCGAGGATTTTGCTGCTTCCTCGTGGTACCGTACTATGCACGCACCAGGCTTCCCACTCATATCGTGCCTTCCCCTCCACCTCTCTCGTGTCTTGTGGTTTTTTTGCCCTGAGAGATCAGAATGAACTCCTGTTGGTGCCCTGAAATTTCAGGATGGCCATACAATTTTGCCCTGAAAAATCAGGGCATTCTTGAGATTTTTCAAAAGTTGCCCTGAGGGCTCAGGATGCCCAAAATCCTAGCACAGGCCCTGCTGGCAGGGGGCGTGGGAGGGGTGTACATGGATGTGAATGCGTCGACAGTGTGGCGAGCTGATGGGTATGTGGATAAAAACGATTGCTTGCACTACTGCCACCCGGATCCCGTGGACACATGGGTGCAGTTGCTGATTAACATGCTGCTGGGATGGGACTGCTCGTGCCCAGTGGTGGCTGAGAGTGCATTCTCTGGCCGCTGGAAGTCAGAATATGTACCTCAACTTGCAACAGTGAATGATTTGTATTATCCTGCTTAGTCGACCATGCTGTATTTACATGGATTCCAGTTGTAAAACTTCCAGTCAAAACAGAAAACAAATGATATTTAATCAATATGATGTACACTGATAACCGAGACTCTGATTTGCACCCCAACAATTTCCTCACGGCACTTAGTGTCCACTGCAACGCTCTGCTGTGGAAGCCAACTAGTCAGCGGCACATACAAGTACAAATCTCTCAAGCTTGGCAATCATGTGGACTGGTCTGAACATTTATCTATTTCCAAGACCCTTCTGAAGGAGCAGCGACTGGGTGATGCAAATGAACAGCTTGATCGTGCAATGGCAGGTTGACAGAGAGGTTGATCCAGAGGAGGGTTGATTCAGATGGGAGGGTTGATGCAGAGGGGGTTGATGCAGAGGGGGTTGATGCAGAGGGGGTTGATGCAGACGAGGGTTGATGCAGAGGGTTGATGCAGAGGAAGGTCGATTCAGATGGACGGTCGATTCAGATGGACGGCTGATTCAGATGGACGGTCAATTCAGATGGACGGTTGATTCAGATGGACGGTCGATTCAGACGTTGATGCAGACGGAAGTTGATTCAGATGGAAGGTTGATGTAGATAGAGGGTTGATGCAGATGCAGAGTGGTTGATACAGATGCAGATGGGTTGATGTAGATGCAGATGGAAGGGTTGATGCAGATGGCACAGATGCACCTCCATATCACAATCATGCCCACACCCCCCACATGCACCCACCCACACATGCTGCCACAAACACATCACCACCACACACACACATGCACATCACCACCACACACACATGCACATCACCACCACACACACATGCACATCACCACCACACACACACATGCACATCACCACCACACACACACATGCACATCACCACCACACACACACATGCACATCACCACCACACACACACATGCACATCACCACCACACACACATGCACATCACCACCACACACACACATGCACATCACCACCACACACACACATGCACATCACCACCACACACACACATGCACATCACCACCACACACACACATGCACATCACCACCACACACACACATGCACATCACCACCACACACACACATGCACATCACCACCACACACACACATGCACATCACCACCACACACTTCCAACACATGTAGCAGTCTTGCCAGCTTCTCTTCATTCCTCTGCAGAACAGCAAGGACAAGAAGCAGAATGAAACATGAGCAGCTGCAATTTCAGTAGAGAAATAACAAATCACAGTATTTACAAATCTATTCACCATTGCCACCAGGAAACACCAGATTGTAGCATGTTGCAGATCGCATCCACTCCCCTCCACTCTCCCACTCTCCTTCCACTCCCCCTCGCCCCTGCTCTCCCCGCTCCCCCTCCCACTCTCCCTGCTCCCCCTCCCACTCTCCCTGCTCCCCCTCCCACTCTCCCTGCTCCCCCTCCCACTCTCCCTGCTCCCCCTCCCACTCTCCCTGCTCCCCCTCCCACTCTCCCTGCTCCCCCTCCCACTCTCCCTGCTCCCCCTCCCACTCTCCCTGCTCCCCCTCCCACTCTCCCTGCTCCCCCTCCCACTCTCCCTGCTCCCCCTCCCACTAAGTACCAGGCCACCCCTGCTCTCCCCGTTCCCACACCCTTGCCCCACTTCACTCTGCCTCACCTCTGCTGCCCACTCCGCTCTGCACTCGCCCAACTCCCCTAAGTACCAGGCACCTCACATAGTTGCACCCTCCCTTGTTGCACCCTCCCTTGTTGCACCCTACTCCCCACTCCCCCTCGCCCCTGCTCCCCTCACCACTCTCCCTCTCCTCCGCCCCTGCTCCCCTCTCCACTCTCCTCCACCCCTGCTCTCCGTTCTCCCTCGCCCCTGCTCCCCCCACCACTCTCCCACTCCGCTGCTCCCCTCCACTCTCCCACTCCACTCTCCCACTCGCCCCTTCTCTCCATTCTCCATCACTCTCCTACTCTGCTCCCAGCCCCATACTGTACTCGCCACACTCCCAAAGTACCATCCTGCATACCATCCACAGTGTACCATCCTGCATACCATCCACAGTGTACCATCCTGCATACCATCCACAGTGTACCATCCTGCATACCATCCACAGTGTACCATCCTGCATACCATCCACAGTGTACCATCCTGCATACCATCCACAGTGTACCATCCTGCATACCATCCACAGTGTACCATCCTGCATACCATCCACAGTGTACCATACTGCATGCTGTTCCTTCTAGCAGCAGCCCGCTGTTGCATCCCACCCCCCCCCTCATAGCAGCAGCAGCACCCCCTGTAACAGCACCACCCCTCATAGCAGCAGCACCCCTCATAGCAGCACTCCCCCTTGTAGAAGCAGCGATCCCCCTTCTAGCAGCAGCACCCCTTGTCGCAGCAGCAGCACCCCTCTTAGCAGCAACCCCCCTTGTAGCAGCACCACCCCTCATAGAAGCAGCACCACCCCTCTTACCAGAAGCACCCCCCTTGTAGCAGCACTCCCCCTTATAGCAGCACTCCCCTTTGTAGCAGCACTCCCCTTTGTAGCAGCAGCAACCCCCCTCTCGTAGAAGCAACAACACCCCTTGCAGAAGCAGCCGAAGTGCGCACCACTCCCACCAGCAACAATAAGCAATAATCATCGCTCCTAGTAACCAACAAAACTGAACACAAATCACCAACTACTCTAGCAAAAGCTATTACACATAGCAAAACTAATTGGTAAACAAAATTACACACCAAGGAGAAGAACAAAATCAGAGAGACACACACAACACATAAGAACAGGATGGAGAGAAACTAAGTGTGTAACAATAGGTGGTGATTATGGACTCAGGGTGCTGCCTTGGGATACCACATCAGCCTGCTGGAACAGAAGCCAAGGCTGTAGAGACTACAAGCCAACGCTCCTTCCAGAGGGGTTGACAACAGTGTGGGCCTGCTGTGCACCCATGTGCCTAGGGGAGATGCCCTCATGAGGGTGCTCCCAACAATTACCCGCTTGAATGCGGGTGAATTGCGCACATGGGTCACATCCCAAGAGGCAGCTGCCTCATCATCATCCAGAAGGAAGGGGTGTGTGTGGAAAGGGTGGGGACATGTTTTGAGTCTGACTAAAAACACACATTGTCCGGAAGGGGAGGGGGTTATGTGGAGAGGTTGGGGACAGTTAAGGGGAAGATGGTATTTAGAAGAATATGGTAAGCTGAGTTGAGGGATAGGTGGATGATAATTAGTATAGCTGGGAGAACTAAGGGTATATAGGAGAGGGCGTGTAAGATGTATTTCTGCAGGTTTATGGTATTACATTCTAAGGTTGCTGGGAGAAGGGAGTACGTATGACAGAGTGACAGCAGGGAAATACACGGCAGGCAGGGAATATAGAGCGCTTATGGTCATATCTTAACTAGTGGCTTCACTGTGTGGACTCAGATACTCTTTGTGGGTCACTCAGGTACTCTTTGTGACACTCAAAACCGCTTCTCCCGAGTACTCCTTGTGAAATCCGTAACTGTGTCAACCTAGCTCAGTGTCACCACTTCTCCCTCTAATGTGCCCACCACTCACTCTCTCAAGTGTCCAGCATCTCACATCTCTTTAGGTCGACACAAAAGTTGCTTCTCATAAGACTCTTAACCTCCTCTCCCTGTGCATTCTCTTATCTGTGTCTTTGATGATACGGATCTGTTGAAGTTGCTTGCTGCAGACTCGGATACACGTCGCCCACTGCTTGGCTGCAGACTGCTACTCCCATTCCTCTCCTCCCCCTCTCCACCACACTACACCATACAGCACCACTGCCCTGCACACTATAAACACTGCTTGCTCCCCACATTGCCCCACCGCACAGCACCGCACAGCACCAGAACGAAACGTTGAAAGCGCCAAAACGCCCGCAGTGACCGCTAGCCGGTTGAGAAGACCCGCTTGCTGCCGTTGCTTGAAATACCCTGCCACTACCGCCCCACCACACAGCACCGCAGAGCACCCCAGAGACGTTGGAAGCACCAAAACGCCCGCACTGACCAGTAACCGGTTGAGAAGACCCGCTGACTGCCGTTGCTCGGAACACCCTGCTCCTAATCCACCACACCGCACCGCACAGCACCTTGAAGAAATGTAGGAAGCGCCAAAACGCCCAGACTGACCAGTAACAGGTTGAGAAGACCTGCTGACTGCCATTGCTCGGAACACCCTGCTCCTAATCCACCACACCGCACCGCACAGAACCCCACACTGACCAGTAACCGGTTGTGAAGACCCACTGCCTGCCGTTGCTCAAAACACCTTACTGCTCCTGCTCCACCACGCAGCACTGCACACCACCGCACACCACCCTACGTGATCCGCAACAAAGAAACTGCTGCTAAGAGCATTTCCACACCTGATCATTGCATGCTCCTAAGTGCCCTCCACTCTTTGAAACCTTCGGTAGCCACTCGCACCCCTGCCCACCATGCAAAACCACACAGCACCAACTTCGACCAAGTAGAAATGCCAAAAGAGCCAGAACGCCCACACCTGAACCAATTGCTGGAGAAATATCCCCTTCTGCTGTTGCTTGAACCGCTCTGCCACTCCTGCCACCGCATAGTACCACACAACACCAAACGCGTCCAAAAACGAACTTGCAGCTACGAACCAAGACACTCCCACCTGCTTGCTCCTCTGCTGCTCCAATAGCCATCCATTAATGTTGCTAAGCAAATAAGCTAGAAAGCCAAACCGCCCACACCTGTCCACTAGGTGCCTGAATAACCACACTCGTTGCTGTTGCTTGGAAAAAACTCTGCCCCACCACACAGCACCACACAGCCACAAAGGTCGAATGCAACAGAAAGAAAACTTCCAGATACCGGGGCACTACCACCTGAACTTCTGCTGCTTCGCACTCTTCTCATCTTAATTGCAGACACTATGGATAACCGCGTCCTCTTCTTCTGCCAACCACCACAAACCACGCAGCACCACAACACCACCTACGACCGACAGAAAAAACTGCAGAGGAAAACAGCCCACACCTGACCACTAATTGCTTGGATAGTCTTAGTCACCACTCTTGCTTGACCACTAATCGCTTCAGCTGCTTCTGCCCAACCACACTCCACCACACAGCACCGTGTACAGCCAACAATAGGAAACGAAATGCTGCAAGAAGCACCACACCTGACCAGTTGCTGATTATCTCTTCCACCTCTAGTTGGCATGAACCCGCAATGTCCTCTGCATACTCCTGCCTCTCCTCTCCTCTCCCTTCCCTGCGTATCAAGCCTCCACACAGCACCACACTCCACCACACAGCACCGTGTACAACCAACGAAGAACAAAATGCTGCAAGAAGCGCCACACCTGACCAGCTGCTTGATAAACTCGTCCACCCCTCGTTGCCACGAGCCCACCTCTCCTCTCCAATGTATCGACCGTCCACGGAGCAGCAGCACGACTCCAAGAGAGAGAATGCCAGTAGAAAACTGCTATGTAGAAAACGGCCACGAGTCTTACCTAGGAAAATGTTATCTAGACAACTGGAACCTAGAGTGCTATGACGAGGCAAGGGAGGCTTAGTAAAAACACTACTACCTCAGTCCAAACTGCTATTTCATGAAACTATGAGACGACCAGACTACAGGCAGTCAATGAGGACTGATGGGAAGTTTGAGGATTGAAGAGGACTATTCGGCTGAGAACATGGAGGGTTTAAGGTAGAAGAACTAATGGCATCAAAGTAGGGCTGAGGAGTTTCAGTTGGGAGATCCATAGAAAAAGGTGTCAAGCTGAAGGGTGTCAAGTCGGGTTTAGAACTAGTCAAATTGAAATATGAAAGGCTCTTCTGAAAGGTGGGCTTGATTGAAACTAATGATACATTCAAAGGGATTATTGGATGGAATGGGAAGGTTATGGGCTGGAATAGGAGGATTATCAACATGGCAGAATAGGAGAGGTTGACAGTCAAACAGTTGGGCACTCGGAAAGAAAAGGGTTTCAGTTGAACCATGAGTGAAACCGTACAGATGAGGTGAAAAGGCTTGACCAAAGAGGACGTAGCTAAGGTGATGTGGATGAACTGAAGAGCATGGAGATGATGCAGTGATGTGGACTGATAGACGATCATGCAGGTGAGTTGATTAGGTTTGACCAGAGGGCATGAGCTGATGTGGCTTGGCAGAAGAGCATGGAGATGAGTTGATGTGGTTTGACTTAAGAGCACGAAGTGACGTGATTGGACCGAAATGCACAGATGAGCTCACGTGGTTGGACTGAAAAGTATGGAGATGACAGTGATGTGGAATAACTGACGATTATGCAAGTGAGCTGGTGTGGATTGAAGAGCATGAGGTAGTGTGGCTTGGCCAAAGAACAGTATGCCGATGCAGAAAAGGTAGATATGGTTTGACCGAACCAGAATATGAGCTGATGTGGTTTGACTGTAGAGCATGAGGTGACATGGCATGGCCGAATAGCAGTATTCAGTTGCAGATATGGCGATATGGTAAATATGGTATGACCGAAACGGAATAGGAGTTGCAGCACCAGGAGCAGCAATCAGACGTCCAGCAGGAGGGAGTGAGTGCAAGGGCGGCGAGAGGCTGAAGACGTTGCAGTAGCAGAAAGGACAGCAGATGCCAAAACAGAAGAGCAATGGACAGCCACCCATCAGAGCAGCAGCTACAGCTACACAGCATCTCTTCAGCTTGCCTGTCTTTTTCGCACTTGAATGAATTCAATCCGCCGAGCAATCAACCCGAGGTGCCTCCAGTTGCATCAGCTCCTGTGAGTAAGAGAAGAAGACGGGACAGGGAGCCTCCACCAACAGCCACCAGCCACCAGCCACCAACAGCCTAGCAGAAGTAGGAACACCAGCCGACGCACACCAGATTGACATGCAGATTCACAAGCAGAGACACCCAGCATCCACACAGCTTCAACTTCAGCTTGCCTGGTTTCATCACAGCTTCCCTCTTCAGCAGACCCCAACACGACCAGGAAGAGACAACATGCAATAACTGCCACCACCACGCCGCCCACCACCGCCTGACACACAGCTTCACTCACCAACCCAACCATGTTCATACGAGCACCCATGACATGGGATAGTGAACAGCAGCCCATGTAAACCCAGAAGCAGAAACAGCCCCGGATTGCAAAGCAGGAACACACACCATGACGCAGCACTCTTCACGTCTTCAGGTCACCCCTCCCATATCAGCTGCCATAACTTTGACACTTCAGTCTCACCCTCACTTGTCCGCTCCAGACTACTCTACCACGCACCCTTAACCAAACCATCCTCTTGACCTGTCACATCACACTTCTAATAACCTGACCAGACAGATTTCTCACAACCAGCACCATCTCACTCAGCCGCTTCAACAAATCCTATCCTCCCTTTCTCTGCCACCTCCTAAAACCTCTCAACTTCACACTGCCAGATGTTTATTCGCACAAAAACCTCTACTCCACCACCACCACCACCACCACCCTCCACCATCACTTCTGTCACCTCACACACTTCACTCCACTCATAAAACGTTCCAGACCATCATCAGCACATACCAATAGCCAAGGCCTGACCTTCAGCTCCCAATCTCTACCTCGTTCCTCACATGTATCGTTCATCTGCACCTCCTCCACTCCGTGTGCTCCATCCCATCTCAAACTCCCACAACAGACGCTAGCCCACTATCAGCCTCTCCACCTGACTCAGCCTGTCCACCTGTCACTATACTCAACCGCCTCTAACCGCTCTCTCTTCCAGCGCACAGCCCTCAACCGTCCCACTCCAATTAGTCATACCAGCCAGCCCACACTATCTCGATTCCAGCGCCACGCCCGCTCAACCTGTACCCGCCACCACCAGCACCACGCCACACCACGCTCCACCGCTCGTTTCGTCAGCCACCTCAATCAGCGTATCACCAGCTGTCGTACCAACACCGTCAGCTTCTACCGCCAGACCTGCCGTATGCACACCCACACTAACCTCTCTGCGTCACTCAATTGCGTACCAGCGAATGTATACTGACTATGTGCCACGTCGCTTCTCTTCTGTCATACCTATTAGCTAGCCGTCAATCCCACAGCGTCACTCAATTGCGTACCAGCGAATGTATACTGACTATGTGCCACGTCGCTTCTTGAACCTCTGGCCTGCCTGACACTCCCAATCGCCTTGAACTCGTAACCCCCAACCCGCAACAGAAGACGCGCGCAATGCTCGACTCTGCCCCCGCTCGTTCCGTGCCCGCAAGCTCCGCGTGACTCTCAGCCGACATCGTCGCTTGCTTGCAGTGTGTCCCACAGTGTGGTGTCTGTCTACCGAACATCCTTTCAGCCGCACCGTCCGTCCTCCCATCGTTCTCGTCCCAATCAAGGCCCGTGGTTGCCCTTATTCAAGCGCTAATGCGCGCGCACTCAGCAGACTCACGCCCGCTCCCGCGCCCGCAACGCCCGACATCCTTTCGCCCAGAGACTCAGTCGCACCGTCCGTCCTCCCATCGTTCTCGTCCCAATCGCAGCCCGTGGTTGCCCCCATTCAAGCGCCAATGCACCCACAGCGCCCGTCACTCAAAACCTGCGAAAAATGGAAGTGGGTTTCTCCACTGCAGCCTGTGGTTGTCCCAGCAGACGTGCAGACGCGGCAGCCACCCGTCCCCGGACGCCCCACGCCCGTCCGCCGCGCACTCATCCGCCGTGCGCCATTCGCCTCCGCACCATGCGCCATTCACCCCCGCACCATGCGCCACTCGCCCCCGTACCAGCCATGTTCTCGTACTCGTTTCCCAACCGTCCCACCATCACTTCAATCTGCACGACAATGGGGTTTGGCGTTGCAGCATGTGGTTGTCCCAGCAGACGTGCAGACGCAGCAGACCCACGCACCCCACGCCCGTCCGTCCTGCGACCATACGCCGCGCATCCTTCCGTCTTCCGCCCATACGCCCCGCGCACCCGTCCGCAGCGCTCGCGTCCCGTGCGCGCATCCGCGCCTGCGCTCATCCGCCAATCACCTCTGCGACTGCCATCCCGTCACCGCGAGTGTCGTCCAGTCTACACCCGTTCCTGTCTCAGAAGACACGCGCGATTGTAGCACACTTGCCCTCGCTCGCTCAATCCCGTCCCCGCTCGCCAACTCCGTCCGCCGAACGCCCGACCACCGAGCAGTGCACGCACCCACGCCCAAACCGCTGTAGTCCTCCCAGCAGGCAATCCCAACAAGCAGACCCTCGCTGTCGCTCGCACAATCCCGCCCCAGTTCGCGCATCACCCGTCCACTGAACGCCCGTCCATTTGAAGCCTGTCCACCATGCACCCACCCGCGCGCGTACCGTTCTGGTTGTCGTCCCATCACGAAAGAAGAGACGAAAGAAGAGCAGACGCTGCAGACAAACGCACTCGCCACTCAATAACCTGCAAAAACAAACTGCGCTGTGTCTTCCCGCACCGGACCCGGGGTTGTCCCAGCAGACGTGCAGAGAGCAGCAGCCATACGCGCATCACTCCATCCCACCCTTGTTCGCCACAAGTCTCTCACCACCCGCCGTTAGCCATCCGCCCACCGAAGTACCTCGCCCCACCCGCGCGCTCGCCAATGCAGCCTGTGGTGAAACCAGCAGAAGTGCAGACGTGCCCACGCGCCGAAGTGTCCCCATGCCGATGCGCCCCCGAGCTGAAGTGCCCCCGAGCCGAAGTGCCCCTGTGCCGAATTGCCGTGCCCAAGAGACCACGTGCAGAAGCGCCCAAGTGCAGAAGTGCCCCCAGTGCCGAAGTGCCCCCCGTGCCGAAGTGCCTGCCACGTGCCGAAGTGCCCACGTGCCGAAGTGCCCACGTGCCGAAGTGCCCACGTGCCGAAGTGCCCACGTGCAGAAGTGCCCACGTGCAGAAGTGCCCACGTGCAGAAGTGCCCACGTGCAGAAGTGCCCACGTGCAGAAGTGCCCACGTGCAGAAGCGCCCACGTGCAGAAGTGAAGCGCAGAAGTACCAATGTGACCACGTCCCGCTAAAGTGCCCCTGTGCCAACAGCAAACGTGCAGACGAAGACGTGCGTGCCACTCCATCCCACACCCAGCGAGTTTGCCTCTTCAAAAACCTGCAAGAGAAGGGGATTGGGTGGGTGTCTCCCGTTGCAGCCCGCGGTTGTCCCAGCAGACGTGCAGACAGAAGCCACTGGCAACTCGTCAATCCCCCTCGCGTTCGCTCTCGCCCGAATTTCCAGTCCGCACAACCGCTCGACACCCGCACGCCCCCGCGCGTGCACCCTCGCGTGTCTTCCCATTGTCGCAGCACCCTTCGTCCTGAAGCCGTGGCGACAGCAGAAACCCGCGCCTCTCACACTTGCCGCTTGCATACTTCCCTCATGACCTGCAAAGAAAAGGGGATTGGGTGGGTGTCTCCTGTTGCAGCCCGCGGTTGTCCAGCAGACGTGCAGACAGCAGCCACTCGCCACTCGTCAATCCCACTCGTGCTCGCTTCCGACCAATTTTCCGTCCACACCCGATCGTCGCCCGCACGCCCAACACGTAAATCCTCACGCATCTTCCCATCCGCTCGCGTTCACATCCAACTGCTTATCCATCCGCGCACCCGCTCGCGACCCGCACGCCCCCGCGCGTGCACCCTCAAGCGTCTTCCCGTTGCTGTCGAGCAGACGGCAGACATACGCGCATCCCTCTCTCACGTCGCTCGCCCCCCACCGACCGCACTTGTCACTTCTCACGACGATGACCTGCATGAAAAAGGGGTTGGTGGGTGTCTCCCGTTGCAGCCCGCGGTTGTCCAGCAGACGTGCAGACAGCAGACACACGCCAATCGATCACGCTTGCGCGTTCGCCCGTTTCCCGTCCACATTACCGCTCGTCGCCCGCACGCCCCTGCGCGCATGCATCCTCAGCGCGTCTTCCTATCCGCTCGAGTTCGCACTCGCCCAGTTATCCATCCGTATAACCGCTCGTCTCGTCCCCCGCGCGCCCCTGCGCGCATCTCCTCACGTGTCTTCCCATCGCAGCCGTGCAGACAGCAGACACAGGCGCGCCCCTCATTTTCTTGTTACTACTGTGCTTCACGACCTGCAAGAAAAGGGGGTTGGGTGGGTGTCTCCCGTTGCAGCCCGCGGTTGACCAGCAGACGTGCAGACAGAAGCCACTCGCCGCGTGTGCATATTCGCCAAGTTATCCATCCACGCACCCGCTCGCCACCCGCACGCCCCTCCGTGTTCATCCGCGTGTGCCTTCCCATCGCAGCCGTGCGGACAGCAGACACACGCGCGCGTCCCTCTCTCACATTGCTCGCCCTCCATGGATCGCGCTTCATACTTCCTTCGTACTTCTTTCTCACGACCTGCAAGAAAAAGGGGGTATGGTGGGTGTCTCTCGCTGCAGCCCGCGGTTGTCCCGGCAGACGTGCAGACAGCAGACACACACGCGCGCGCGTTGCCCTGCGCCAACCTCCCCCCGCTGACGTCTCGCTCGCTCGTGCCCTGCACCGCCTTTCACCACTTCCGTCTCCGATCGCGTCCTCCCACCAACGCCCACGGTTGACCCAGCAGACGTGCAGAAGGCAGACGCGCGCCACTCAATACCGTTCCTCGCCCAACTCGTTCGTTCATCGTCCCTGAGTGTTCTTTCGAAACGTCGTTGCGTGTTTGTTTCTTCATCCTGCAAGAAAGGGGGGTGCGGGTGTCTCGTGGTGCAGCCTCTAGTTGTCCCAGCAGACGTGCAGACAGCAGACACGCGCGTCATTTCTGATTATCCCGCTCGCTTGTTTCTCGCCATGCACTTCGCTCCACCTCCGCTCGCGTCTTCCCATCAGCGCCCGCGGTTGTTCAACGGACGTGCAGACAGCAGAGACGCGCCACTCAACCACGGCCGTCCTCGCCCCACGCGCATTCACACTTCGAGCCAGGACCCTCGTGTCTTCCCATCAGCGCCAGAGGTTGATCAACGGACGTGCAGACAGCAGACACGCGGCCTTACATGCAGCGCGTTCGCTTCTCAACCTGCAAACAACGGGGGGTTGGCGAGTGTCTCCCGTCGCCGCCTGTGGTTGTCCCAGCAGACGTGCAGCCAGAAAACAAATGCGCCACTCGCTTCCGCTCCTCCCCCGGCCCTCGTTCGTTGCTCGCGCCTTATCTCTGTTCAATTCTCTACTCGTCCTTCAAAAACCTGCAACAGAAAGGAAATGGTGGGTGTGTCTTCTTCTGCAGCCTGTGGTTGTCCCAGCAGACGTGCAGCCAGCAGACACGCGCCACTCGATCCCGCTCGCGTTCGCGTTCGCCAGCACACCCGTGTTGCCTTGCCACTATCCGTTCTTCCCAGCCGCCACACAACCGCCTGTTTCAATCTCGAAGCATCTGCCCCTTCATGTGTCGTCCCGACACAGCCGGTGGTTCTTCACGCAGCCGTGCAGACAGCAGAAACATGGCGCGCCGATTGTTGTTCATGCCCCGTCCAACACCACGCACTTGCGCTCAAAAGTTTAACCTACAAACACAAACGCCTTTCATGTGTCTTCCCTTCGCGGCCAGTGGTTCTTCACGCAGCCGTGCAGACAGCAGACACATGGCGCGCCGATTGTTTGTGTTGTTCCGTCCGTTCAGCACCCCGCGCTAACCACCCCTTGTCGACTCGCTTGTGTTCGTTCAGCAGAAATTGTTGACCCGACAGACGCACCCCGACGGCAGAAGGCTTGTCTCAGCAGTGCAGCCTACCCTCTTCCCAGCACGCTCTCTCCCTGCCCTGGACGCACAAAATCGCACGGAGAAACACACAGCAACGGCAAAAGCCAACAACAACCACCTGCCTAGTCTCCTCCCTATCCCATTAGCACCTACAGTGTGAGAAAGCACAAGCAAGAGGAAAACGGACTAGAACTCTGCAAAACTCACTACGGCCTGGAACACACCGACATAAAACTCACTATCTGGTATGTGCACAACAAACTAGAACTTCAGGGCACACAAACAAAAACCTCCAGACACACCGTTACAGGACAGGCGGAGTCTACTCGGAACGAAGGGCGACAGGCAGTAGACGTGTAGACGGCAGTAGACGTGTAGACGGCAGTAGACGTGTAGACGGCAGTAGACGTGTAGACGGTAGTAGACGTGTAGACGGCAGTAGACGTGTAGACGGCAGAAGACGTGTAGACGGCAGTAGACGTGTAGACGGCAGTAGACGTGGACGGCAGTAGACGTGTAGACGACAGCAGACGTGTAGACGGCAGTAGACGTGTAGACGGTAGTAGACGCGTAGACAGTAGTAAACACGTAGATGGCAGTAGACGAGTGGCCGGACGAGTAGACGGAGGTAGACACGTAGACGGAAGTAGACACATAAGCAGAAGACGAGCAGAGGGAAGTAGACACGTGCAAACCGAGGTGACGGAGGTGTTAGTAGCAAACACACGAAGAGCGCGGGCGGGGAGAAGACGCAGGTAGAGATGGCGCAGGGCGGGTAGGGATGACGCAGGGAGGGGGAGGGCGAGAAGCGCGGCACATCACGCAGCCTGGAGGGGGGGGTTGACTGGCGGGGGAAGAGACGCGGAGACAACACAGGTTATGGGGCCAGGGGGGCCCGGGGGAGGGGAGGGGAGGGGAGGGGAGGGGACGAGGAGGAGGAAGGAGCACCAACCACAACAGTCAAGGAACGCCTAAGAGGGAGGGTAAGGCAGCAAGGAGGCAGGGAAGAAAAAGGAGAAACGCACTGCTGGATCGAACCACTAGCCCAGGAACCTTGGTGGAGAGAAAGCGAGAGCAGAGACGGCAGGGGGAGCGTACGAGACCGCAGAGGCGCGCAGAGATGAAGCAACGGTTGGGAAACACGTGGCAGTAGCTAACGCGACGCAGGAAGCTTAGCAAACCAGGAGCGCGAGCAGAGGCGGCGGAAGAAGAGAAGAAAACTTAAGAGCACAACCTGCAGGAAAGCAACGAGGGGAGGCTACAGGAGGAAGGAAGAGAGAACAAGTTATGGGCCCAGGGTGGCCCAGGGAGGGGGAAGGGGGAGAGAGGGGAGCGCCAACCAGGAGAGGGACCAAGGCAAGGAAGACAAGCCAAGAGCACCGACGTCTAGAGCATTGACGAGGACTGGAACACTTAAGAGTCACAACGGTTGGGGAACCTTAGGAGTAGCAACGAGGCTGAACGAGAAGGGACGGCCAAGGGACCAAGGGAGAGATGGAGGAACGCGGCCTGTGGGGGCGAGAGCGGTGTGGCTTGGAGAGGAAGGGAAACAGACACAGGTTATGGGGCCAGGGGGCCCGGGGGGGGGGAAGGGGGGACAGGAGCGGGGAACGCCAACGAGGCTAGGAGGACTCGACGCAACAAGACGACGGAGGGAGCTGCAATGGAGCGAGACAATAACGGGTCAGCAGAGCACGGAGGAAGGCGAGAAACCTGGCGAGGAAGAGCGGAACACCTGAAGGCTTAGGGACGACCGACCGCAGGGGAAGGCGGCCTGTGGGGACACGCGCAGTGTGGCTACACGAGGGAAAGAGGAACGAGACACAGGTTACGGGGCCAGGGGGGCCCAGGGGGGAGGGAGGGGGGACGCCAACCAGGAAGAGCGCACGTGTAACGGAACGAGTGAAACGAGACCGCGCCTACAGCCTAGACGAAGGGTCACAGGGAAAGGACGCAGCTAATGGCGAGGGGCATACTAAAAACAAAAGAAACGCGAAGGTGGTTACTACAATCGACCACACCGACCGTTCAGCGTCCGCAGTGGGCTGTCTGTTCTTGAGAAATTTATGGCCCAATAAGCGAGGAGAACTAGTCGCAGACACCTGATGTGCTGCTGGTAGGGACTAACAGACCGGAGGGGGGCAGAAGAGGAAAACTCAAACCCCAGGGCCCCCGAAGGGGATGGGGAGGGGGGGAGGGGACCAAGAGGCAACAAGCCTGGCACTAGACGGAGCAACCAAGGAAACTCTAATCCGAGACTGTGACGGAACGAAGTCATCAGTTAAATGTGTAAAAAACGCACACACCAGCACAGAGCTACAGCTACCCGGTCTTTCATGAGCAAATCTCCGTCACGTGCTGCGAAGGGCCGCTAGTACCGAAGGCTACTCGGACGGCGTCCTGTCCGCCAGACTGCTGCCATGGAACTGACTACGGGGACGGAGGGAGGAGGAAAACTGAAACCCCAGAGCCCCCGAAGGGAGGGGTGCGAGACACAGCAAACCTGACACAACAGCGAGTCTGACACATACGAGCAGCAACGCAAGGTCAACGACGCGGCAAGGACTCTCGAAGAAATCGCAGCGGACATCGAAACGTAACAAGTCACAGCACTAGCTACCCGATCGTCCCATCAATGGCTGGATGAATTTCAAGAGTGACGCGTGGTGTGTGGCGCGTGGTGCACGATGAGTCAGCCTGCTGTGCTGCTGGCAGGGCAACAGAGCAAGATGAAGAACACGATATTTTGAAGCCCCAGAGCCCCCGGAGGGGATGAGGTGGGGTGGGGGGTGGGCAGACGAAGAAAGACCAGCTAGCGGAAACGCACGCAAGAGCGCGGGAGGACGCAGTATCGACACGGGACCAGTCAAAAACGACAAACGCAGGTAAGGTGACCGAACGCAGGTGAGCTGGCCTAGATTTGACGGTAGACAGAAGCGACGGCTGTGCACGACCTCTCGAAGCAACTGCGACGAGTCGGTTGTGAAGGAAATAAATTCACGCGTCCGTCATACTGTGCTGCTTGTAGGGCAACAACAGCCACACAGCAAAAGGCAGCAGAAAAAAAGTGAGAGCCCCAGAGCCCCCTTGGGGGGATGGGGTGGAGGGAGGAGCACCCGGGCAGGAACTGGACGGAACCGTGGTAGAAACACCACCTGTTAGCGGAGTGCACAAGATACAAAACCTCCTCCAAGTGATATCTTCATATTCGTGTCTGCGCTGTCTGGGAGGGATGCAGCTGCTGTTCCAATAAGAGCTCCTAACGGATTACTGCGAGTTCGCGAGTTGAAGGATGTCGGACGACGAATCCTGTCGAGAGGGATGCGACGGAAAGAGCCAGCAAGGCAATCCCACCCTACGACTTCGTTTCGCCTTTGCCTTGAGACCTGCAGACTACAAAAGAATTGCAGACAAGCAGAAGCTAACCCCCCCGACGACAACCAGATTCGTTTCAAATTTCTCCGAAGTCCTGCTTGACCCCTCATAGCTGCTGACAGCAAAAGAGCAAATACAAACATTTTGACCCCGGGAAGTGGGCGCACACAGCCGCATCCATTGACAGCCTGCGTAAGAGTACAAACATGTCACAATCCTAGAAGCATAGTCGTCTTTACATGCGTAGAATAGACATACATCACAATGTAAACCTGACTCTCCACAAGCGGATACATCTTATATAACCAATATAACCTTCCATCTCACGTATATATTTCAGAATACAAACAGTTACAGGGCAACGGACGGCCCACTCATTCGAATCGTTCAGAAGTCTCGACCATCCAACTCATATGCTGAATAAATCACGCGCTTCGCACGGACCCTTCGCTCTTCAAGACGCTCACGACGGTATCACGACCGATAGTAAAACTCTTCCACGGAAAAATCCGATGCGCTCAACCAAGAATCGATCTTACGCTTCGATAGCTTCAAACTGTGCAAAAAACATCGCGGACATAGCGACCCTAGGGAAAACGGTGACAAGCCCTTCGTGTTCTCTAAAGCGTCGACAGCCCTTGCGGGATTCGAGGACGTGTAAGCATCCAGGTGACTTCGAAAACGAGCCTCAGGGTTCAAAACTGACGATGCCAAAAGGGTTCAACGGTAACACAGTAACCTCAACCGAACGAATAGGACGACCACACGGCCCATAGAGTACTGCAACCACGGGACTCTGTACCACGTAACTCAGACGCCATCAACAAATCACGGACACCTGACCAAGAGATCATCATCACGGCGTATTGCTCACAGCCAGATGAACCCAAGGTAGCGCGTCACGAGACGTTGGCCTGGCAGTCCGCTCTGGTGTTGTCCATCCGAACCACGGGAGTGAAGTGAAACGAAATCAAGAAACCAAAACTGTGCAGCAAGAAATGAACCTACCCTGCTCAAGAAATGGAGCTGTGGAACCCCAAGAAAGGGATGGCAGGGAAGGAGGGTGGGATGGGGTTTGAATAATTTGGGCTCGGGGAACTTCCTTGCGACGTTTCTTGGCGACGCCGGCGACCACGGTTCTTGCTTCCAGACCACTCAAGCCTTATCTCGAGTTTCCGGTGATGAAAAGAGCAGCACCGATTGGTCGAAATTGACACGGATAACGCACCGCTGGCCTCGGGATTTGCTGTTCTGGTAATTGTGGAACCAATCCCGTTGCGCCTAGCGAAACTTTCATGGTGCTAGTATCGCTGAGCCAATCCCATCAGGCGAAACGTGCTGAGCGGTGCAAGACAGACCAAGCGGTATGCGAAGAGGATGGTGGTGGTGGTACGTTCGCGAATTTTCGTGCACGTGATGGAAAACAGAAAACGCGTTGAGTGGTTGGTTCCATGCAGCAGCAACACCATCATACATGCCTGTGCATGCTGATAGGGAAGGACCTTTCCCCGAGGTGATGGTTCATCGAATGCACATGAACCAAGTCACCGGCAATGTCTGAACATGACTATGTGACGTTGCAAACCACTCCTTTTGTGTCACTGGCATGACAGCATTACGAAATAGAGCATACGATGAGTCAGAAGCGTGTTGGGCTACGTGGCATCTGCCCCAGTTGCCTCAGCTCACATGATGCTGACCATACTTCACGTGTTCCCCTGCCAGTCAAACCCGTTACTGTATGAAACTGTTTTGAGAATCTCACACAAGGATCATGTATGTATGTTACTGAGTTGCTGGGTTGCTGCTAATGTCTACTTTGTTACTAAATTATGTATTCATAGAAACAGGAGCATGGTTCATTCAAGTTGTTTTTCAACGAGAATGCCTTACATAAGGGCATGTAGTTTCACATTATTCTGCACTGATACGAGCATATCAATGCTCGAAGAAGTACTTGTAGTCATCGATTGAAACACGACTATCTAGCCAAATCCGCCCCAAAAATGAGTGGAGAGTACGCGGGTACCCATGTGCGCTTCTCCACCTGTTTCCTTAAACCCTCCTGCTCAAAATGCAATTTCCACCCAACATTCACGATGCAAAACGCCATGAGCATATGAAGTTAATGTGATAAGATGGTATCATAAGGTGTGCACGGGTCAACATGTGCATACCTTGGAAAGCGTCAGCAGCTGATCGGAATGCAGGCTGGGAATGCCCTCAGCCAATCCCTCCTCTGCTGCCTTGCGAGCCACAGCCACTGCGACGTGTGATGTGATGTCACGGATGCTGGAACAGGGAGATTGGCCGGGTGGTGTGGGGCAGGGAAAGGGTGGGGAGTATTAGGAACAGACTTAGCTCCCCTGCTGCTTTGTAAACCACGGCCACTGCGACGTGTGATGTGATGTCACGAATGCTGGGAGAGGAGAGGGCGAGCAAGGTTGGCAGGGTGGGGAAGAGCGGACTCCTTCACTACTTGGCAGCAAGTGGGTTTGGCATAACTGAATGACTCTTGAGTGGACAGGTTGGGGGAGAGTGGACTCGTTCACTCTGGATAGCTGCTGAGGTGAGTTTTCCTCTTGCCTATGGCGATTAAAACCCTTCTGAGTCGGCCATGGGGTCAATTTGACAGTGAAATGCTGAGGCAAGAGGAAAGCTCACCTCACTAGCAGCCCAGTGAAGGTAACAGCAGCCTTTTCATACCGGGTTAGCGAGTAGAGAACATTTAGATTAAGCTCAACGGTGCGCCGATAAAGGATGAGGACGTGGCTTTGAGCCCAAAGCCTCAAAGGCTCCCTGGTCTAGTAGAAACCTGACGTGGCTTTGCCTCACCTGGATGGTGACGGGTGTGTCTTGAGTCGACTTGAAGTACACGTGCGAGAGGGTTTTTGCATACCTGGATAGCGACGGGAAGAGAATCCCCTTCTTGACGTCATCGTCTGGAATATAGTGCGCCACCCTGGGAGGGTCGTCGATTTATGGAGGGAAGGATGGGAACGAGGAGGGGGAGAAGTGGGAGAAATGGGCAAAGGGAAGAGAATCCCCTTCTTGACGCCATCTTCTGAAATGTAGTGTGCCACCCTGGGATGGTGGTGGAAGCATGAAGGGACGAGGCGGGATAGCGAGACACAGGGGAAGAGATGGGGACGAGAGGGCAGGGGGGCCAAGAGGGGCACGGGAAGAGAATCCCCTTCTTGACGTCGTCGTCTGAAATGTAGTGTACCACCCTGGGATGGTGGTGGAACCATGGCGTGGGGGGGGGAGGGAAGATAGACACGGGGGAAGAGGTGGGAGAGAAGGGCAAGGGGGAGGAGAATTCCCTTCTTGATGTCATCGTTTGAAATGTAGTGTACCACCCTGGGATGGTGGTGGAACCATGGCGGAGGGGGAGTAGGGGCACCTCATCGTCTGAAATATAGTGCGCCACCCTAGAGGGCGGTGGAACCATGGCGGGGAGAAAGAAGGGTAGAGGGGAAGAGGTGGGAGAGAGGGGAAAGGCAGGGAGGGGCACCTCATCGTCCGAAATATAGTGCGCCAACCTAAAGGGCGGTGGAAGCATGGCCGGGAGAGGAGGGAAATAGAGACACGGGGGAAGAGGTGGGAGAGAATGCCCTTCTTGACGTCATCGTGAGAAATAGTGCGCCACCCTGGAGGGCAGTGGAAGCATGGCGGGGAGAGGAGGGAAATAGGGGCAGGGGGGACGAGGTGGGAGGGGGATCTATGTTCCAAGGCAGGCAGAGTGCGACCGTAAAAGGTGGCAGCAAGAGGTGCCTTGTAATGGAAGCATCTCACTCGTTGGCTGCACTGTGGATCTTTTGATCAGACACGACACGAGCACCATCGAGTAATATCAACAACCAGCTAATGTTCGAGAACCAGTTTCCTTAAAAAAAAAAAAAAAAAAAAAAATCAGGCCAAACTCACTCGTTGGCTGCCGCGTGGATCATTCCTTCAGACACCAGGCGAGCGCCCGATATCAGTGCTCCGGCCGCAATGCTGGGGTGGGAAGCGGTGGGACGGGATGGGACGGGATGGGATGGGATGGGATGGGATGGGAAAGGGGGAAACACACAAGGAGATGGGGGGCGTGAGGGTGTGAGTGTATGAGGGGTGACATGAGGGCGGGTGCGGTGGAGGTAGCGGTGTGAGGCTGCTTTTGAGTCGACTCAAAAGTATGAGGACATGAGGTGACATGAGGGTGGGTGCAGAGGAGATAGTGGTGTGAGGTGACCCATAGAGGGGACGAGGAAGATGTGGTTTCTTTGGTGAAATGGCACATGGCACATTGCACGAACCACCCAGTTTGAAGGCAAAGCATGGTGGTGGTGGTGGTGCAAGGAAAAAGCGGCCTACCCTGGAAAGAGGAAGATGTGGTTGCCCTGGGTGGAATGGCCAATCTTGCCATCCGCTGGTGGCAGCAGCACAGCACAGCACAGCACAGCACAGCACAGCACAGCACAGCACAGCACAGCACAGCACAGCACAGCACAGCACAGCACAGAACACACAACACACAGGAAACAGCACACTCAGCACACGGCACTGACAAGAGCACAGGCAAAAGATGCTGTCAGGTTGCGAGAAGCTTATCAAAGCGGGCACAGAGTCAATATGCAACCGGGGATGTAGAATAGGAGGGGGTATGATCGAGGAGGGGAGCTCACGGAAGCGGACAGAGGGGGGGCTGACTCCAAAGAGGAAGAGCGCGTTGGGACGCAATGACTTTTGAGTTGACCTTTGAGTCAACTGAAGAAGACGCATCGAGGCGATTCAGAAACTTACGGAAGCGGACAGAAGGGTAGCTGACTCCAGAGAGGAAGAGGGCGTTGGGACCCACGGCTTCGAAGGCCTGCTGTGCCGTGCACTCTGCTGGAGGGGGGGGGAAACGGGTGGGAGAGAGGGAGAAGAGAGACGTGAAAGAGGAGGTTATGGGAGTGGACGGAGGGGTAGCTGACTCCAGAGAGGAAGAGGACGTCGGGACCCACGGCTTCAAATGCTTGCTGTGCCGTGCACTCCACTGGTTGGGGTTGTACGGGCGGTGGGTGGGGGGAGAGGATTGTATGGGAGCACACGGAGGGGTAGCTGACTCCAGAGAGGAAGAGGGCATTGGGACCCACGGCTTCGAATGCCTGCTGTGCCGTGCACTCCACTGGTTGGGGGAGGAGAGGAACAGAGATGTGTGAAGATGAGAGGACCCTGACAAGAAGGAAGGAGCAAAGGAAGCACAGTTCCTATCCTTCCTGCAAAGGAAGCTGTGGGACCGACAGTTTCAAATGCACAGTGCCTGCTGTAACACTTGGTGGCTAGCACGAAAGAGTTCTTGACAGATCTCAGAGCGTCCTTGTCAAACAGGTGGTGCTTGGCCAACCATTTCCCACCACACAGCACCGTTTTGCACTCACAGGGAGATGAGAGTTCTTGACAGATCTCAGAGCGTCCTTGTCAAACAGGTGGTCCTCGCCCAACAGCCCAAACAGCACAGGCACATCACCGTGACTGTCTTCATCACCTGCGCCAGAGCTGGTGCTTCCCTGACTGCCCAACCAGCACGTGAAGCTGCACTGCCTTTAGGCACTGCCTTGATCACCTCATGTCCGTGCACTGATCACCTCATGTCTGTGCACTGATCACCTCATGTCTGTGCACTGATCACCTCATGTCTGTGCACTGATCACCTCATGTCTGTGCACTGATCACCTCATGTCCGTGCACTGATCACCTCATGTCTGTGCACTGATCACCTCATGTCTGTGCACTGATCACCTCATGTCTGTGCACTGATCACCTCATGTCTGTGCACTGATCACCTCATGTCTGTGCACTGATCACCTCATGTCTGTGCACTGATCACCCCATGTCTGTGCACTGATCACCTCATGTCCGTGCACTGATCACCTCATGTCCGTGCACTGATCACCTCATGTCCGTGCACTGATCACCTCATGTCTGTGCACTGATCACCTCATGTCTGTGCACTGATCACCTCATGTCTGTGCCTTGATCACCTCATGTCTGTGCACTGATCACCTCATGTCCGTGCACTGATCACCTCATGTCTGTGCACTGATCACCTCATGTCTGTGCACTGATCACCTCATGTCTGTGCACTGATCACCTCATGTCTGTGCACTGATCACCTCATGTCTGTGCACTGATCACCTCATGTCCGTGCACTGATCACCTCATGTCCGTGCACTGATCACCCCATGTCTGTGCACTGATCACCTCATGTCCGTGCACTGATCACCTCATGTCTGTGCACTGATCACCTCATGTCTGTGCACTGATCACCTCATGTCTGTGCACTGATCACCTCATGTCTGTGCACTGATCACCTCATGTCTGTGCACTGATCACCTCATGTCTGTGCACTGATCACCTCATGTCCGTGCACTGATCACCTCATGTCCGTGCACTGATCACCTCATGTCTGTGCACTGATCACCTCATGTCTGTGCACTGATCACCTCATGTCTGTGCACTGATCACCTCATGTCTGTGCACTGATCACCTCATGTCCGTGCACTGATCACCTCATGTCTGTGCACTGATCACCTCATGTCTGTGCACTGATCACCTCATGTCTGTGCACTGATCACCTCATGTCTGTGCACTGATCACCTCATGTCTGTGCACTGATCACCTCATGTCCGTGCACTGATCACCTCATGTCCGTGCACTGATCACCTCATGTCTGTGCACTGATCACCTCATGTCCGTGCACTGATCACCTCATGTCCGTGCACTGATCACCTCATGTCTGTGCACTGATCACCTCATGTCTGTGCACTGATCACCTCATGTCCGTGCACTGATCACCTCATGTCCGTGCACTGATCACCTCATGTCTGTGCACTGATCACCTCATGTCCGTGCACTGATCACCTCATGTCCGTGCACTGATCACCTCATGTCTGTGCACTGATCACCTCATGTCTGTGCACTGATCACCTCATGTCTGTGCATTGATCACCTCATGTCTGTGCACTGATCACCTCATGTCTGTGCACTGATCACCTCATGTCTGTGCACTGATCACCTCATGTCCGTGCACTGATCACCTCATGTCCGTGCACTGATCACCCCATGTCTGTGCACTGATCACCTCATGTCTGTGCACTGATCACCTCATGTCTGTGCACTGATCACCTCATGTCTGTGCACTGATCACCTCATGTCTGTGCACTGATCACCCCATGTCTGTGCACTGATCACCTCATGTCCGTGCACTGATCACCTCATGTCCGTGCACTGATCACCTCATGTCTGTGCACTGATCACCTCATGTCTGTGCACTGATCACCTCATGTCCGTGCACTGATCACCTCATGTCTGTGCACTGATCACCTCATGTCTGTGCACTGATCACCTCATGTCTGTGCACTGATCACCTCATGTCTGTGCACTGATCACCTCATGTCCGTGCACTGATCACCTCATGTCTGTGCACTGATCACCTCATGTCTGTGCACTGATCACCTCATGTCTGTGCACTGATCACCTCATGTCTGTGCACTGATCACCTCATGTCCGTGCACTGATCACCTCATGTCCGTGCACTGATCACCTCATGTCTGTGCACTGATCACCTCATGTCCGTGCACTGATCACCTCACGTCTGTGCACTGATCACCTCATGTCTGTGCACTGATCACCTCATGTCTGTGCACTGATCACCTCATGTCCGTGCACTGATCACCTCATGTCCGTGCACTGATCACCTCATGTCTGTGCACTGATCACCTCATGTCCGTGCACTGATCACCTCATGTCTGTGCACTGATCACCTCATGTCTGTGCACTGATCACCTCATGTCTGTGCACTGATCACCTCATGTCTGTGCACTGATCACCTCATGTCCGTGCACTGATCACCTCATGTCCGTGCACTGATCACCTCATGTCTGTGCACTGATCACCTCATGTCTGTGCACTGATCACCTCATGTCTGTGCACTGATCACCTCATGTCTGTGCACTGATCACCTCATGTCCGTGCACTGATCACCTCATGTCCGTGCACTGATCACCCCATGTCTGTGCACTGATCACCTCATGTCCGTGCACTGATCACCTCATGTCTGTGCACTGATCACCTCATGTCTGTGCACTGATCACCTCATGTCCGTGCACTGATCACCTCATGTCTGTGCACTGATCACCTCATGTCTGTGCACTGATCACCTCATGTCTGTGCACTGATCACCTCATGTCCGTGCACTGATCACCTCATGTCCGTGCACTGATCACCTCATGTCTGTGCACTGATCACCTCATGTCTGTGCACTGATCACCTCATGTCTGTGCACTGATCACCTCATGTCTGTGCACTGATCACCTCATGTCTGTGCACTGATCACCCCATGTCTGTGCACTGATCACCTCATGTCCGTGCACTGATCACCTCATGTCTGTGCACTGATCACCTCATGTCTGTGCACTGATCACCTCATGTCTGTGCACTGATCACCTCATGTCCGTGCACTGATCACCTCATGTCCGTGCACTGATCACCTCATGTCTGTGCACTGATCACCTCATGTCTGTGCACTGATCACCTCATGTCTGTGCACTGATCACCTCATGTCCGTGCACTGATCACCTCATGTCCGTGCACTGATCACCTCATGTCTGTGCACTGATCACCTCATGTCTGTGCACTGATCACCTCATGTCTGTGCACTGATCACCTCATGTCCGTGCACTGATCACCTCATGTCCGTGCACTGATCACCTCATGTCTGTGCACTGATCACCTCATGTCTGTGCACTGATCACCTCATGTCTGTGCACTGATCACCTCATGTCTGTGCACTGATCACCTCATGTCTGTGCACTGATCACCTCATGTCCGTGCACTGATCACCTCATGTCTGTGCACTGATCACCTCATGTCTGTGCACTGATCACCTCATGTCTGTGCACTGATCACCTCATGTCCGTGCACTGATCACCTCATGTCCGTGCACTGATCACCTCATGTCTGTGCACTGATCACCTCATGTCTGTGCACTGATCACCTCATGTCCGTGCACTGATCACCTCATGTCTGTGCACTGATCACCTCATGTCTGTGCACTGATCACCTCATGTCTGTGCACTGATCACCTCATGTCTGTGCACTGATCACCTCATGTCCGTGCACTGATCACCTCATGTCTGTGCACTGATCACCTCATGTCTGTGCACTGATCACCTCATGTCTGTGCACTGATCACCTCATGTCTGTGCACTGATCACCTCATGTCTGTGCACCCAAACAGCACAGCCGTGCATTACCGTGACTGACTGGCAACCAAAGCAACTCACAGTGGTTGGCAGGACAGGAGAGGGGAAGGATGGCGGGGCGGGGTACTCCACTGTTCTTCACAGCTCTCAGCACATCCTTGTCAAACAGGTGGTGCTTGCCCGACAGCCCAAACAGAACGTGTGGCTGCACTGCCTTGATCACCGCTGCCAGGTGCGCCCCCTCCTGCAGCCCCCCCTCCTCCCGTGCCTCTGCTGCCGGCCGCAGGAAGGGCCGTAGCTGGTTGGGTACGGCTCCCCGCGCTTCGGTCATCAGGCCCTGGGTTGGGGGTGGGAGAGAGATGGAACAGGTGGTGCTTGCCCGACAGCCCAAACAGCACGTGTGGCTGCACTGCCTTGATCACCGCTGCCAGGTGCGCCCCCTCCTGCAGCCCCCCTCCTCCCGTGCCTCTGCTGCCGGCCGCAGGAAGGGCCGTAGCTGGTTGGGTACGGCTCCCCGCGCTTCGGTCATCAGGCCCTGGGTTGGGGGTGGGAGAGAGATGGAACAGGTGGTGCTTGCCCGACAGCCCAAACAGCACGTGTGGCTGCACTGCCTTGATCACCGCTGCCAGGTGCGCCCCCTCCTGCAGCCCCCCCTCCTCCCGTGCCTCTGCTGCCGGCCGCAGGAAGGGCCGTAGCTGGTTGGGTACGGCTCCCCGCGCTTCGGTCATCAGGCCCTGGGTTGGGGGTGGGAGAGAGATGGAACCGGTGGTGCTTGCCCGACAGCCCAAACAGCACGTGTGGCTGCACTGCCTTGATCACCGCTGCCAGGTGCGCCCCCTCCTGCAGCCCCCCCTCCTCCCGTGCCTCTGCTGCCGGCCGCAGGAGGGGCCGTAGCTGGTTGGGTACGGCTCCCCGCGCTTCGGTCATCAGGCCCTGGGTTGGGGGTGGGAGAGAGATGGAACAGGTGGTGCTTGCCCGACAGCCCAAACAGCACGTGCGGCTGCACTGCCTTGATCACCGCTGGCAGGTGCGACCCCTCCTGCAGCCCGCCCTCCTCCCGTGCTTCTGCTGCCGGCCGCAGGAAGGGCCGCAGCTGGTTGGGAGAGGTGGGGGGAAGGCGATGGAGAACGGAAGAAAAATCAACGGCCGTCAGCTGGTTGGGTACTGCACCCCGCGCTTCGGTCATCAGGCCCTGGGAAGATGGGGAGCGTGATGGAGGCAAGAGGGGGAAATGTGGTTCTTCCATGACGGCCCAGCGCCCCCTACCGCATCCCCTCCTCCCCCCACACAAAGGCTCGTGGCTGGTCGGGTACTGCGCCAGCACTTACGCCGACATTTGCATATTTCTTCCATATTTCTTCCATAGATGTGCCTTATCACCTCGTATCCCCAGTGTTGACCCTTCATCACCTCTTACCACTTCTTACCACCTCATGTCACCCCGTTCCACTGCACATCACTCCCACGCACCTTGTTATCCACGATCCAGAAGTTGCGAGCCGCCTGCACGTAATTGTGCTTGCTCTCCCCCAGATGTGCCACCATCGCCTTTTGAAGTGCTACCAGCATGCCCTGCACCGCACTGCACCGTGGGAACAGACATGAACAGTGGTTGAACAGAAGACGGTAGGTGAGTTCACATGTCATGTCAAGCAACCATCACAGCAGATGTGCCACCATCGCCTTCTCCAGTGCTACCAGCATGCCCTGCACTGCTACTTCAATCCACGTCCTAGCTTGCCTGCATTTCCACACGCGCCTGCCTGTTTATGGAAAGGAGTTACTGGTGGTGCCTGTAGCGGTCCCTGCTAAACCCCTCGAAGCACCTGCATGCACGCCAGTCAGTCCCTCCCAAACCACGTGCACCTGCCAGCACCGGTCACAACCATTTTGCAATTCGCCAATTCAGTGGGAGGCAGCTCCTGCGCCCTCAGCACGTTGGTCACCGCCGCCACAGCCAGGGCCCCCCCTGTTCGTCTTCCCAGAACATGCGTTTCCCTCTCTGCCCCTCCCAGCCCACACACACCTGCCAGCACCGGTCACAACCATTTTGCAGTTGGCCAGTTCACTAGGAGGCAGCTCCTGCGCCCTCAGCACGTTGGTCACCGCTGCCACAGCCAGGCCCCCCGTGCCCTGAATGTCATCATTGAACGTGCGGTACTGGTGCCTGTAGCGGTCCATCAGCACGTGCGCCCACTTGCGCTCCATGTCCTCGAACTGAGAGGGTGGACAGAGGGGGACAGGGGGGTTGGGCAGGAGCAGAGGGTAGGTGTGTGTGAGTGAGTTGTGTGGTACTGGTGCCTGTAGTTGTCCATCAGCACATGCGCCCACTTGCGCTCCAAGTTCTCGAACTGGGGGAGGGTTAGGTGGAAGGGCAGAGGTTAGGTGTGCAGTACTGGTGCATGTACCGGTGCATGAGCACATGCGCCCAGTTGCGCTCCATGTCCTCGAACTGGCATGGCGTTGTGGGCGCATAGGAGCACAGAGGGAACACAGCGGGTGGGGTCCTCCCCATCCTCTCCGTCCATGCGCACGTGTGCTCTGGGTCGACTGAACACACGCCTGGCACCGCACTGCCTGGTAAACGCACTACCTGGTAAACGCACTGCCTGGTAAACGCACTGCCTGGTAAACGCACTGCCTGGTAAACGCACTGCCTGGTAAACGCACTGCCTGGTAAACGCACTGCCTGGTAAACGCACTGCCTGGTAAACGCACTGCCTGGTAAACGCACTACCTGGTAAACGCACTGCCTGGTAAACGCACTGCCTGGTAAACGCACTGCCTGGTAAACGCACTGCCTGGTAAACGCACTGCCTGGTAAACGCACTGCCTGGTAAACGCACTGCCTGGTAAACGCACTGCCTAGTAAACGCACTGCCTGGTAAACGCACTGCCTGGTAAACGCACTGCCTGGTAAACGCACTGCCTCGTAAACGCACTGCCTCGTAAACGCACTGCCTGGTAAACGCACTGCCTGGTAAACGCACTGCCTGGTAAACGCACTGCCTGGTAAACGCACTGCCTGGTAAACGCACTGCCTGGTAAACGCACTGCCTGGTAAACGCACTGCCTGGTAAACGCACTGCCTGGTAAACGCACTGCCTGGTAAACGCACTGCCTGGTAAACGCACTGCCTGGTAAACGCACTGCCTGGTAAACGCACTGCCTGGTAAACGCACTGCCTGGTAAACGCACTGCCTGGTAAACGCACTGCCTGGTAAACGCACTGCCTGGTAAACGCACTGCCTGGTAAACGCACTGCCTGGTAAACGCACTGCCTGGTAAACGCACTGCCTGGTAAACGCACTGCCTGGTAAACGCACTGCCTGGTAAACGCACTGCCTGGTAAACGCACTGCCTGGTAAACGCACTGCCTGGTAAACGCACTGCCTGGTAACCTGATCGTAATCGCGCTCACCTGCACGATGACGTTGGGCCAGCGGGCGGTAACCGCCTCCATACATTCGTTTGTGAGCTCCAGGTAGCCCAGGCCCAGCGGGCAGTGACTGCACTGCCTGGTAAACGCACTGCCTGGTAAACGCACTGCCTGGTAAACGCACTGCCTCGTAAACGCACTGCCTGGTAAACGCACTGCCTGGTAAACGCACTGCCTGGTAAACGCACTGCCTGGTAAACGCACTGCCTGGTAAACGCACTGCCTGGTAAACGCACTGCCTGGTAAACGCACTGCCTGGTAAACGCACTGCCTGGTAAACGCACTGCCTGGTAAACGCACTGCCTGGTAAACGCACTGCCTGGTAAACGCACTGCCTGGTAAACGCACTGCCTGGTAAACGCACTGCCTGGTAACCTGATCGTAATCGCGCTCACCTGCACGATGACGTTGGGCCAGCGGGTGGTAACCGCCTCCATACATTCGTTTGTGAGCTCCAGGTAGCCCAGGCCCAGCGGGCAGTGACTGCACTGCCTGGTAACCACACATACGTGAACAATGACATTGGGCCAGCAGGCGGTAACCGGTAACCGCCTCCATGCATTCGTCTGTGAGCTCCAGGTAGCCCAGGCCCAGCGGGCAGTGAGTGCACTGCCTGGCACGAGCACTGTCTGGCTGGCAATGACAGTCCACACACGCCTGAACAATGACATACCTGGACAATAACGTTAGGCCAGCGGGCGGTAACTGCCTCCATGAACTCGTCTATGAGCTCCAGATAGTCCTCGCCGTCTATGCGCGGATGGCGCAGGCCCAGGTCTGCATGCGCACCCAGCGGAGAGGGTCATGGGGGACAAGGCAAAGGGACACGGGGGACAAGGCAGGAGAACATGGGGGAGAATGCAAGGGGTGTGAGCCTCCATGAACTCGTCGATGAGCTCCAGATAGTCCTCCCCGTCTATGCGCGGATGGCGCAGGCCCAGGTCTGCACGCCCGTGGGGGGAGGGGTGACACGAGGGGACAAGGCAGGAGAACGTGCGGGACAAAACAGGAGTTGGCCTCCATGAACTGGTCTATGAGCTCCAGATAGTCCTCCCCGTCTATGTGCGGATGGCGCAGGCCCAGGTCTGCACGCCAGTGAGGGGGAGGGGGGAACAAGGGGGGTCACGAGGGGGACATTCAGGTGAAGGCAACGGGGATGAGGGGGGATGAGGGGGGGACAGGAGGAGAGGAGGAAAACGGGGGACAAGGGGGACGAGAGGAGGAGGGCAACACGGGGGACAGGAGAAAGGTGATGCGAAGGAGGGGGGAGGGGAATTTGAAGTTGACTCACGAGGGCGTACAGAGTGGGACCTTCATGAGCTCGCTGTTGTTGGTGCCCACGTAAAAAACGGATGAGACTCGACTTAGGAGTGCTCAATAGACAAGGGCCATGAGGGCCACGAGGGTTACAAGCGGTGCGAGGGGTACAAAGGAAACGGGGGCTTACAGAGTGGGTCCTTCATGAGCTCGCTGTTGTTGGTACCCACATCGAAGACTACAGGCAGCACCTGGGGGCGGTGGGTGGGAGGAGAAGGATAACAATGGGGGAAAGGAAACAAACAGTCTGTTGATAGCCCATCAGCCATGTTTCTCTCATAATGGCCATCTGAATCACAAAAAAGTGGAACCATCACAAGCCATTTCCTCTGCTCGTGCCCCTCCTCTGCCATTTCTTCTTCTAATCGTTCCCATATCCTCTGCTCGTCCCTCCCTTTCTTTGTCTCTCCCACTCACCCGGTTGGGGTTAATGCCAGCAGCAGCTACGTACATGTCCAGCTTCCCCACATGTACTGAATTCAGCTCATATTCTCGCTCCCACGCTTCCAAATCGTCACTCTCTCCTCTGGTTGTCCCCCTTCCCTGGTCTCTTTTCCTCTGCTCGTCCCTCCATGTCTCCCCCTCCACTCACCCGGTTGGGGTTGATGCCAGCAGCAGCCACGTACATCTCCAGCTTCCCCACCGGCGCTGACACCAGCTCTTTATCTCCCTCCCACGCTCTTCAGTGATCCCCTCTCGCCTCTGGTCGCCCCCCTCTCCTCTCGCTGTCCCTTTTTCCTCTAGTCATCTCTCTATCTCCCTCTCCGACTCACCCGGTTGGGGTTGATGCCAGCAGCAGCGACGTACATGTCCAGCTTCCCCACTGGCGCCGACACGGCCTGCACGCCGCAGTCGCCCACTCCCAGCACCCTGCTGCCATCCGTGATCACTATGATATCCACCTGGGAGAATGAGAGCGGGTAGAAGAGAATGGGTAAGGGGTGAGTAGGGGAGAGCGGGGTTGTGGCAGTGAGACAAGCAGCACGCATGCCACAGTCCCTCACGCCCAGCACCCTGCTGCCGTCCGTGATCACTATGATGTCCACCTGGAGACAAGTGGAATGACGGTGAGGAGGACAGTGAGGAGGGTGCGGGACAGGAATTTAGCTAGGAGTTTGTGCGCACGTGACAGAGGGTGCCACTGTGCCTTGAGGTGGTTTTTGAGGCGCCTCAAAAACCACCTCAATGCACAGGAATTCAGCTAGGAGTTTGTGTGCTGTGGAATTTAGCTAGGAGTTTGTGTGCACATGACAGAAGGTGCCACTGTGCCCGTTTCTACTTTCATTTGCATTATTTCAGTTCAAACACCACATGTGCGCTTACATGGTTGGAGGGCCAGTTGTGCACCATCGATGCCATCTCGCCCGCCCTGGTCATTGCCGCTGAAGTACATGCCTCCTTGCTGCCACTGAATGTATTTGTTCCTACAGTACATTCATTCGCCTACATGGTCCTTTGCCGCCGTCATATGTACCACATATGCACTTACATGGTCGGACGGCCAGTTGTGCACCATGGAGGCCATCTCGCCCTGGTCGTTCGCGCTGAAGTACATGCCTCGTGGGCGGCGGAAGAGGGAGGCGTAGCGCTGGCACACCATGCCCACGGTGGGCGTGTACACGCTGCGTGACATCTCCTCTATGTTGTCCATCAGGATCTGATGATGCATGGATGAGGGATGTGTGCAAGGGGAGGTGGACGCGGGATGTGTGGAAGATGCAAGGGATGGGAGAGAGATGGCAAGAGCCACGGGCAGCGCTGGCACACCATGCCCACGGTGGGCGTGTAGACGATGCGCGACATCTCCTCTATGTTGTCTATCAGGATCTGAGGTGTGGAGGGGAAGGGGGAGGGCAGAGGGAGGAAGGGGGGGAGGGAGGTAAGGGATGAATGATGCGGAGCATGGCAGGAAGCATGACGAGAAGAGGATGGCATACCACTGGCAGTGGCACACCAAAGCTGTCCCTCAGAATCTGATGCTTTGAGAGGAGGGGGGAGAGGAGAGGGGGAAGAAGGGAGGATGGGAGGATGGGAGAGTGATGACGGTTGCTGGGTATGGCAGGGAGCATGATGTAAAGGGTGTCCCCAACTGCTGGCACATTGTGCCCTCTGTGAAGTGAACACAGCGTGGGACTTGCACCACAACGTTTCACTTTGGAACACAGGGCAGTCACCCCGCACCTCGTTACAGTAACACCCACAAACGCTCACTCGCCACACACATACCCGGTAGTAGAGCGTCTCGTTGCAGTCGTGCAGGCAGTTGAGGATGCGCCACTTCTGCAGGTCCACAGGGTCGTCGGGCTTGATAGTGGAGCAGAGGACCCACCAGACACCCCACAGCTCTTTGCAACCACACATATCTACAATACAATCACACCAAACACACACATACCCGGTAATACAGAGTCTCGTTGCGGTCGTGCAAGCGGATGAGGATGCGCCACTTCTGCAGGTCCACTGGGTCGTACGGCATGACGGTGGAGCAGAGGTCCCACCACACACTCCTCAGCTCGTTACAGTCACACACATATCTTCAACACACTCACACCACAAACCTACCCGGTAATACAGGGTCTCGTTGCGGTCGTGCAGGCGGTTGAGGATGCGCCACTTCTGCAGGTCCACAGGGTCGTCAGACGACCTGGGCTTGCGTTCAATCGCCTCGTACTGCCGCACTGGGGGGGGGGGTGGGAACGAGTGGGGGATGGGAACGAATGAAAAGGGGGCGTGGGAACGAGTGGGGGATGGGAACGAATGAAAAAGGGGCGTGGGAACTAGTGGGGGATGGGAACGAACGAAAATGGGACGTGGGAAGGATGCGCCACTTCTGCAGGTCGACGGGGTCGTCGGACGACCTGGGCTTGCGTTCAATCGCCTCGTACTGCCGCACTGGGGGGGGGTGAGAACGAATGGAGAAGGGAAGGAAGGAGGTGGGCGAGAAAGGAGGGCACCCTGATGTCTCTGTGTTTGACCTGGGCTTGTGGTCAATCGCCTCGTACTGCCGCACTGGGGGGGGGTGAGAACGAATGGAGAAGGGAAGGAAGGAGGAGGTGGGCGAGAAAAAAGGGCACCCTGATGTCTCTGTGTTTGACCTGGGCTTGTGGTCAATCGCCTCGTACTGCCGCACTGGGGGGGGAGGGGGGGGGGAGAGGAATGGAAGTGGAACGCAGACAAGGTCATGGAGTGACTGCCAGTTCACCGCTTGGTTGGGATGCGGTGAGGCGGTTTGAAGAAATCTACAGCTGCTCCTTTGTGATTTACACGGTGACAAGAATCACGCTCAAGCGTCTCATAACGCGTACGAGGGTGTACTCACTGAACTGCTGCATTTGCTCCTCCATGGTCTGGTAACCCGGCGGAAGGAGGCCCCTCATTTGAGGCGCAAGTCACTCTATAACGCGTACGATGGTGTACTTACTGAACTGCTGCATTTGCTCCTCCATGGTCTGGTAACCCGGCGGGAGAAGGCCCCTCAGACCCAAGCGATCCCGTTCTGGTGCCTCGAATGCCGTATGCTGCAGGGAGAGGGAGGGCAAAGAGTGGGAGTTATTATTAGTTACGAATGTTTCTCTCACGAGAGACGATGGATGGTAGTCGGAGCAACGAACGACGAGAGCAACACCCGTACGAACCATGGACGTGCGGCATTACACGAGACGCGCTTTGGGTGTATGTTACTGTGTTCTGACATATTCAATACTAACAACGTTGACCCAGAGGTCTTGTAGGAGGCCAGTTTTTGAGAAGGGCATCAAAATGTTCAGGCGCTGGTTTTCTTTGAAACTCTCTCCGTGCTTCCTTCGTAAGTCTGGTTAAAGACGGCTCACTTTGTGAGTCGGGCTAAGAATGACTTACTTTGTTGAACCACGGGTCGTGAAGGAGGTCCGCTCCCCGCTTGTTCACGATGATAGCTCGGCCGTGGTGAAAGGGCCGCGATGGACGGCCGAGATGATCTTGATAGGCGTTCAACAATGCGGTTGCTGGCCCACACCGCATCATATCTCGAGTCCTTCTGACGGCTGTCCGGATCAAAGCAGCACTCGCCATGTTGAAATGCTATCCCGAACGGTAACGAATGGTCGTGAAGCCTAAGGAAGGATGAGGAGAGGCAGCGAGGTGCTTCCAGTGACAATGTAAGGGCTCCGACTACGAAAGCTCGCCAAAGTTCGAAGCGCCAACAGGAACTGGCGATACGGAAATGTAATGCGATGTTACGTCAACTTATATATTAACGGCGATATGAGCTGCTTGCGCGACACTGGGTGGTAGCGGTAATAAATAGGATGGCGTGAACTGGTTCTTGCAAATCGGAACACGAAGCGCGAAATTGTGGAAAATGGGGGACGGTGTTGAAAACTACCGTTGAACGCGGTAGAAAGCGGACGAGGGAGTCGGAGCGAGAAGCAACGAGAAGCGAATGTGTAGTAAATAAGTTGAGCGGCACGCAGCACGAGCCGTCACGCCAGGACCTGAAAAGCAAACTGGAATTCGCGATTGTCGAAGGGAGCTGCGTCATGGAATGGAGCTGGAGACTTGGAAAGCTGGAACTGAACTTCAATTGTCAAGCCAGAGCAGATTCAACGAAGGGCTTGTGGCTCGTCAGTGTCAGGAGAACGAATTGCATCCAACGGTTGACATGCGAAGTTACTGATGGTTACCATCTGCAGTCAGTTGTTGGTGATGGGACATGGGGGTTGGTTTTGCGAATTGAAGCGCCTTGAAGTTGGTTGACAGAAAGTCAGCCAGACTGACGTCAGTACTGGCTTGGCAATTGCAGATTTTGCTCATCTTTGGGACCACAGATTTGCTGGAGCAAAACTTACTCGCTGCCATGGAAGTTGCTCGACTCGAACAAAAGGTTTATGCAGTCATGTTTTACTTGTAAGTAAAGACCCACTGGAGACATGATGATGTTTTTTTCGACTATACAGGCAAATTCGAATTTCGTGCCACTACGCCCACTTCCCACATATCGGGAATGCTGACGATGAAGAAAAGATTGTGACCTGGCACACAGGCTTCTGCTTGATAAAATCTCCAGCAACCCCTTTGAAGCTCGAATTTCGATATATAACCCTTCCGAGTACGAGAAACATCGAAGGTGTTCCTCATCACATCTCACACCAAAAATATACATACAATGTTCACAATGCACGACTTTCACCAGCATGAGACATCCATATATCCTCAAAAATACCATAATGGTCCCAATCGAACGACACAGAACCGTTATCAAGGTTGGTCATCGCTCTACAGTTAGCGACCGTTCGTCAGACTGAGTTTTAAGTCTGTTACAATATGAAATTCTATGAGAATGTTCGCCCAGGTTGGCAGCACCCTCATCATGATCTGGCGGAACTGTTCGGCGGTGTATGTGTCGCCGATGGTGCCGCGTCGACGGTCCGAGCTGACTCTACCGAGTACGAAGACGAGGAGTCAGGAGAGTCGAAGCGACGCTAGTAACCTGATCAAGACCGATGCAGGCAAAAACATTTGAACTGAAAAGAGGGGGAACAAGTTTGAAACGGGTTCCCGCGCCGCACGGTTTGAATTCCGACGTAATAAGGGATTGTACCCCTTAAAGTACATGGCTATTCCATGTCGTTTCACATTCCTTTGCATTTCCTATATAAACTTGATGTATGCATGCTATTGTCAATCTCAGTCATTTACATTCACTCTGACCTGAGGTCACTACTTCCGCTGCAATATTACTCTTCGATCAACCCTAAGCGATCCTTCATTAAGTCCCACTTGGGATTGTAACATGGTATCAGAGCTACTCAGGGATTTCTCGCAACTTCACTTCCGAGAAATTCGCCAAATCAAGATCTGGCGAGCGGCACATGCTCCAAGACCAAGACGGCCGGAGGATCCGGAGGCCAAGCGAATTTGACGGCCGAAGGACAAACGAACCTGGCTGCGACAAATGAGGCGACAACCACGATCAACACTGTCGCACTCGAACAGTTATTTTCGCGACTCTCGACTATAGAGAAAGACCTCCAAGAACTGCGCAAAGGCGATGCGGGAACCTCTTCCCAACCAGCTCAACCTGGACAACCGGCTGCGAAAAGCCGTGATACCGCCGCACACACCTTCTCTCTCGACACAGACAAATCAACAACAACTGTCCCCCGTCCAAGTGATGAAGTCATCAACTCTGCGCAAGCACGCTTTGTCATCGTTTAAAAAATTAAGACTACTACCGTGTTTGACGACAATGATTTGTACACATGGAGTTTTGAGCTTGAGCTCCTCCTACAGACAGCGCAGATCTGCCACTACTTCGATGGCTCCTACGCAAAATCGGTGGAAGACACCGAAGACGCCAGGGCTCAATACTACAGCGAGTCCCTCATGGTGTACAGTGTGCTGCTACGCAATATGACGCCTACGGAACAACTCAGCATTCGCTCCTACAAAGAGAGCGCTGCTCCAGCCCTGGAAGCCTAGAAGCACCTCGTTGAGGTATATCAGCCGAAGGATTCGGTCACCGCCAGCAGGCTCCTGCAGCAACTCATGGAGACAAAGATGGGGCACGGGGAGAAAGCAAACTCATATATCAACCGCTATCGGATTTTTTGAGACCAAATCACGAAACATGGAAGCGCCATTTCGGAGGAGATCTTCGTCAACATCGTCCTCCAGGGACCCGAGCCAGAGTGGAAGCCCTGCAAAGCGCTACTCCAACAACGAGGAATCATCTCTGAAGCCGCACTATGCGCCGCCCTCCTTACTGAACAGCAGGACATGGGTTCAAGCACAACAAGCTCCGTGCCACGCCGAGAGCGCCTCGCCTTCTACACAGACAACCGAGAAGAGCGACGACAGCCACGGCGCCATTATTGCAAAATCTGCAAAGTCTTCGGACACTCAACGGACTAATGCAAGTCCCGGCCTAACTATCGCCACCCAAACTCCACTCACCACTATAACAATTGGGTCGGCCGACAAGACCCTCGTCATTTTCAGCCCCAGCAGCAAGCTGCACGCCCTCCTGCACAACACCAACAACAACAACGGGCACGAGGACCTCAAGCGGGAGCTCCCAGAAATGTGATCGCTAACATGGCGACAATACGTCGCCCACGTGATGCTGAACCAGATGAGGAAGAAGAACCTCGCGGTGGGTCCATTCAACCCGAAGAATGATATAACAATCCCCTCACAGAAGATCACTACTACCGGTATGACGAGGACGAGCAAGATTGGCATCAGCCACTACAGCTCCGGGAGAGCCCACCTCACGATCGTCAGCACTACATTCTCGTAGGATGGAGAGAAGATGAGTTCTTTGAGAGACGATACAAATCGACACTGGTGACGCCGCGGCTCGCACTCCTCCTAAATAACAACAACAGGAACCATAACACCTGGTACCTGGACAGCTGCTGCGGCCAGCACATGGTGGGATCTGTCCGGTACATCTCGAACATCAGCCGCACTCCCGCCACCTACGTCACTGTCGCCAACAACGAGAAACTGCACGCAAATGCGCAAGGCATCGTGGTGCTACAAGCTCAGGACAGTAACACGCACATGACGTTCAACGACGAGCTCTACGTGCCAGATCTCCGCTTTAACTTACTGTCGGCAGGACAACTCGGAGACTGCGGGGTAATGCTTGCTACGGATCCCTACACACGCAACCTCATCCTCACCTACGCCCCTCCAGACACACCCGTCGAGTCGCATAAATACCTCGGAAGAGCTCGCTCGCTCAACAGCGTTTACGTGCTCGACTTCGATATCCCCAACTGCCAGGCATCGTCAGACGAGCTCGTGGATCTCGTTCCCCTGGATTCTCCATACATGAACGTGGAGTCATGGCAACATCCGGACGGTCGACCGTGGATTCGCTGCAGCCCCCACCCTGAAGAGATAAATTTGCATCAACCCGGTCCTGACGGCATCTGCACCACCTGCTTCACACCCACGGCAAGCCGCACAGAAGAAGTGGTAAAGGATCTCGCGGTGATTCAAGAAGCGGAAAGCGCTGAGGCGGAACCTTCGGGCATGACAGAAATGGAGCTAGCCATCACCACTCACCCTGTTTTCGGGATCGGCGACGAAAAGTTGGGGTTGACGGAGCAGCAGCGACCAACACCGCGCACCGAAACCCTCCGCTGGATTCTGGAGGAAGCGCACGGCACAACTTTCGACGAGGAAAATCGTCCGCGACCTTACACCCGCGACGTCTATCGCAACTTCTTCGACAAGGCGTGGAAGGATCCTGACGCAAAAGAAGAATTGAGCGTCAAGGAGGAGGAAGATAAGGCAAGGACATAAAATAAGGTAAAGATGTATGAGGAGCGTGTAGCGGCAGGATGGGACGAAGAGTCAGCACGACGCGGTGGATGGGGAGGAGACGACGAAGGCACAGGAGCAACATGGGGATCCGCCACCTGGTGCTTCGTGCACCGTTCAAGGCTGGGGAACT